CAGAATTTGAAAAACAAGGAAACATCATCTAGAATAACTGAGTTACAAATACTTTTATACTTAATTTATTAAAAAAATACCCCAAATAATTGAGATATTTTTCATGGATTGATGCTTTAATTTAAAGTATGAAAAATTAAGAGTCAAAGCCTCATTCCACCTTTCAATATGAACACTGAGTGCTATTGCTTAAAAATACAAATCTTGGGCTGGGAATTTAGCTCAGTGGTTTTGCCACCTGCTGCGAAAGCACAAGGACCCGAATTTGATTCCAGTACCAAAAAACAAAACAAAACAAAAAATACTAATCTTACATTCATTCCTGCCAGGGATACAGAAGAGAACAATAGAGTCTTGCTTCCTACCCTCACAGACTTTACACTGTAGTAGAACAGACAAATAAGAACCAAGGATATAGGTTGAACACTGTATTTGCTTTAAATTGCTAAAAGGAACTAAAAGCTGAGCATGGCAGTGCACACCTTTAATCCCAGCACTCCAGGAGGCTGAGGCAGGAGGATTTCAAGTTAGAGACTAGCCTGGGCAGTTAAGAGTTAAAGAGACCTTGTATCAGAATATAAACAAACAAACACACAAACAAGTTGCTGAGGATGCAGCTCAGTGGGATGACTCAAGTTCTATTTCCAGTATAGATAGATAGATAGATAGGAAATAAAATGGCATAATCTTAAGTAATGACCTGGACTAAAAGCCCAATTTAAACAGAACATTTGATAGGTGAAACTCACCTGCAGACTAAGCAACTAAGCTCCCACCCCACCCCCGCCCTGCTGTATGGTATCTGCTTTATTTTGGAAACTGTCACTTGACTCATAGCATTGTAGTCAGCTGAAGACAGAGTGAGGTAGGAGAAAAGATCAGTATTTGAATTTGAAAAGCTAGGCAGAAGCAGGTGTCCTGGTCATAGTACTACTGGTATTTTTACCCACTAGCAATGGGGACTCAGGAAACATGGTCTAGAGCCCTGACGTTATTTAACTTAAGCTCATCTTAGCTGTTGGATGGCAGAGGTATGGAGCAGCTTGAACCTTAAGCAAGCAGAGAGCAAGGGTACTCTTGTTCTGCAGTGACCCACAGCAGTCTTGGTGATCTGACCAGTATTGCAGCAGGAATGATACAGAGCAATAGGTGTGCTGAAGTTTCTTTTGACTCCAACTAAAAGATTAAGCACAGAGGCTGAGCAGTGAATGACAACACAAGGGAGGAGGCTTCCCACTGCTGGCATCCTCCTCATAAACTAGAAAGGGAGGGGAGAAGCAGCTTCCTCTCTCTGGACATTCACTCTCCAACTTCCCATTCAATCCTTAACAAGTAATCAGAACAAACCTTGAAAACATCTGTTGCTCAATATCATCCAGAACAAGAAAAACCAAAGGAGGAGGCAAGTTTAAGGCAGCTTTCTAAGGAAACCAAACGAATTATTCACTTTAATTATTCTCCTTTTAAAAATGATGATTTTCCATAATTAAAGAAGAAAGTATGGCATGAGTAAAATAGTTTTGTAATGCAGATTTCAGAGCATCTTCTTTTCAGCTATAAATTTATTTTCTTCTTTAAAGTATTTAAGTAAAGCTGGTTCTCTATTCATACAGCTTTTTTCCATTAACTTGTAAATAATTAAAATAAGAAACTGAAATGCAAGAAGAGAAGGAATAGGAGCAAGCTTGGCTTATGCATGAAAAGTAAAGACAGGATACATTTGGTAAATTTTATTTGTTGGGCTTCAATACCAGAGAATCATACCTCTGTCTGTCTGGTAGCCATTTGCAGTTACAGTCTCTGTAACTGACCACAATAAAATTATTATTCATTTGTAGGCGATCATCAGACTACTTGGAAAAAAGGCAGCTATGATATTTCAGCCTTTCGAACATGGCATTATTTTCCTTTAAAAGATACTAAAATTATCTGCTCATTCTTGTAACTGTGCAAACAATCAAACCATACTTTCCCTTACAACTTTTTGATTAATGGGCTTTTCTTGCCAGACAAGTAGTCTATTTCCCTTCCAACAAATGACTGCAGTATTTAAATATAAATCATGATGGTACTTTCCCTGTTTTTCACTACCGACCTTCATAAGCACAAGCAAATATAAAATAATTTACATGGTTTATATTTTCTACTGATATTAGACACTATTCTTTTCATTGTAAATAACAAAGAAACAAATTCAGAGTCACTTAAAACCAAACAGTAGGCAATGTATTGAGACTATTTCATGGAACTCCAAAGCAGGAAATATAAGCAGTTGTCCAAAGATTATGGAGCCACAGAGTAGAAAACCCCTAGGAAGTAGACTCTCTTTCTGCCTGTCTGTCTCTGTTTTTATTTCTGTCTTTCTCTGTGTTTCTCTCTCTCCAAATCTCTGTGCCTATGTGTGGTTTCCTATTTCTCTGTCACGCTCACTTTTCTCTTCTCTTCTCCTTGGACATCCTCCTCAGCCTTTTTTTGTCTCCATAGATTGGCATTCTCTGTTCTGCCACAGTCAGAGCCAAATAGGGCTTGGTTTCTGCTTCTGACTATACTTGAGTTCAGCACAAATAATCACACAACCAACACTACTGGTCTTTCATTTTGCTACCAGGCTTCAGGAAGAAGTAAGAATTCTCTCCTTCAGTAGCACTTGTGAAGAATTCATGTTATATAATGATGTGTTTCTTCAGTTAGTCAGCTCCAAATCATACGGGACACTGTAATAGAATAATACTGAGAAACATCATACCTTTATAATAGAGAGATAAGAAAAAGGTTTAATTATGGAGGTTTTATCCTTTGTTTCTATAACAGTAAACTATTATATTCAGTCATAATAGCTACTCTAGACCAGACACTATTCCAAGAGTTCACTCTCACTCTTCCTTGAGCCCCATTCTACTACTCACAAAACATACATACACTTAAATTCTTAAACTCTATGGGGTAAATATTATTTTTTTTTATTATAAAAAAATGAGGTTAAGAGGGGTTGAGTGTCCTGTTCAAGGTTTCAAAGAGCCAGGAAACAGGCAGCAGGCCTAGATGTAGAGCTGGTATCTTCTGTGCTTAGCCACTGTGTCACTCTGCCCTCTGAATTTGGTATTTTGACTATAAAGTCTCATGATTACTTTTTAAATGAAACTACAAGACCTGAATTATTTCATTTTCTAAGAAAATCATCATTTGAAAGTGTTTCCTGAGTTTTCCTTCCATTAAGCTACATATATTGTACTTGATAGCTGTGACTTCACTTCTTCCCATATTCTTTTGTATCCCACATCGACATTTTCTGAATTTTACAAATACCATAAGTTTCTTTAATGAGGGTAGGATGTAGATATTTTTCTTTTTTTCAAAAATAAAAAATGTAAAAAACATCTTATACCAATTTCTGATTAACCCTACTAGATACACTGTAGAACACCATTTTTATTACTTTTTGCTCTTTTTTATAGTCCTGTGTTTAGTACATTCTTGGAGCTCAAAGCCAGTTTAGATCAATTTTCCATTAAGAGCTGAAAAATTGTTTTTAGTGTTTTCCTTCCTCAGTTTATAAGGTGGAAAATTGGTTTTTGGTATAAGTATATTATAAATTCATAGGCTGGTCATTGTAAATTGAAAACTTAAGGGAAATATAAGTATATATACTTTATACTGCATGTTTGACAGAAGCCAGATATGATATTATCTTTCAAAAAACTATGAAAGTTTGTTAAACTATATTTCTACAACTACTGCTAGACAATTTACAAAAGGCATGCTATGGCTTGATCCTGATTAAAACTATTTTTTTATTCTGGATTTCAGAGATACACTGAGAAAACTGTTGTTTACTTTTCTGCCTCAGTTTTATTAAGAATGTATAAGCTGAAACTCAGATTATATACTAAGAACTCTGTAGGTTTTCATCCTGCCCACATGAAATTGCTCTTCCATAGTTAGACTTTAATATGAAAATTGCCTGGCCACTCCTGCCAATTATATTTCAATTATACTTCACGTTGATCCTAGAAAATTAGGCAGCCTAGCAGCATATAAAAAGGGAGCTGAAAACGAGTTTTGTTCAACACAGATAAATTATTTTCCAAATGGGTTGACACTTTCAGTTTTTGAGACAGGTTTTAAACTTTTAAGTGGTAATTCCCCTTCAAATAATGAAGAAGTATTAACAATTTTAAAAGAAACTATGCATTTGGGAACCTCCTGGCTTCCCCATCAGAAGCAGCCCCCCTCCCCTGCCCCCCAACTTTACAGACAAAAATGTGATCTGAACCCTGGGGTTCAGATTAGGTGTCTCCACACTGCCCTCTGCTGACGAGTGATTGCTTTCCCTTCAGCTACAGGCTCCAAGCAAGGAAATTCCGAGACAGGTTTGACTTAAATCTAGGAAGAGGCAGGTTTCATCTGTAGATGAAAAAAGAAAAAGAGAAAGAAAGATCAGTTGGAAAAAGGAGCCATTTCCTTTGCAGAGGCAACTATACCTCTGAAAAACACTTCAGTGAATAAGACCCATCTTGGGGTCAAGGGGGCCTGTGCTGAGTCACGGGGTCACCACTGGACACCTGAGGGAGCGCTGGGATTCATCTGCAAAACCATGGCGACAAACCGACGTGGCTACACGCAGTGGCTCCCGCTTCTGAAAAACCTGTCGTAGTGCCTTGGCAAACCTTCTGATCCTCCAGAGTTAATCTCGACTCCCTCCTCGCTTCCTCACCTCACGGACCTGAAGTAATAGAAGCATCTGGGCAGCTGCTCACCTGTGCTAGCAACTTTGAATCCCTTGGCCTCTTTTTACTGCAGGTCCCTCTGATCATGATCAGTTCTAGGGTCACCACGCTGTAGCTACCCCCTCCCTCCCCGGCTGTGGGGCTCAGGCTGGCGCCTGGGACGCGGGGGGGGGGGGGCGGTTCGCGGTCTAGGGCGGGCTGCGGAGGAGGAGTCTCTGGGTCCAGGCCGGATGCGCGCCCCAGAGCGAGCCCCTCGCTGTCGCCACCGCAGCGATGCCGGGCAGCGGAGCCTGGACGCTGGCGCTGGCGCTGGCGTTCCTGCCCTCGGGGGAAGCCCAGCCAGGTAGGTCGCTGCTTCTCGGAGAACGCGGAGCCACCCGGGTTTATGCGCGCCTCCTCTGAGGTCTGACCCCACGAACCTTCTCCTGGTCCCGCTGTTTTTGAGGGGTCACTTTTTCCTCTGCTGCTCTTTGGCTTTATTTTGCATGCGGATGGCTACAGCCTCCTCTTGTCTCGGACCTTGCGTCCTGTTTTTGTTGTCTTGTTTCTTGCTGCTTCCCTGCTCTTTAAATTCCTTCTAATCTGCCGTAAAACGCCTTTGCTGAACCTGTCAGGTATCCTAGAGGCAAATAGATCCCAGTTATCAGAAGAATTGAGTTCCAAGTTGAATGATTTCCATCCCCACCTTCAGAAATAATCGAAGAATACTTTATTCTTACAGTGAATCACTAAGTTGTTTTATGTGTGATTTGATAAAACATTTATTGGTACAGGTTTGCAGTACAAATTTACATTCCGTGTGTGGAGTTGGTACATGTACATAACACATCTTAATTCTTTTTTCATCCCCTTCCCCTCTTCTCCCATGATATTTTTCATTTTATCTTTTAAAATCAGATTTTCTACTGTAAAAGAGATCTTTATGTAAAGACTACCCTGTCCCACTTCTTTAATTTAACACACAAAAAACCAGATTCTTTGAAAGTAACTCAAATTCTTCCTTTCTCCTTGTTTCTTATCTAAATGTGCTCCTCTACCCCCTTGCTTTTTCTGTGCTTCACTGTAAATGGTACTCAAATATGAAAGAGAGAAAAGAAAGGCAGAGGGAGGGAAGGAAAGGAAGGGGAAGGGAAGAGGGAGTTATGGACTTAAACAACTTTATGTTCTTTCTTGCACCGAAAAATGCAGGAAACTTCCTTTAAAGGGACTTTAGGAGTCACCAAAATTAGATCAACCTTAAAAGATTAATTCAGTTTGTTGCATTCCAGGATGTAGAAAAGATAGGATCTGGAGGGGCGTGTGTCTTCTTGGGGGGTGGGGTGGGATATGCTCCCGGAGGATCCATAGTAACATTGAAATCTGGAGGAGGAGGGGACTAGGCCCAAGAGGAATCTCTATAGGGCCTGGATTTGAGATGGTCACAATAAACAAATCCTAACTCAAGAGCAATCAGCTCTATTGCCTCTTTAAAATAAAATGAAAATAAAGGTCTCGAAGTCCCTCAAAAATGCCTTCTGAAGGGTTTTGCTGAGTTGTTTATTGTGTCAATGAAAAGTGCGAGTTAAACCATCCTTGACTTACTGAGAGACTTAGAGGATTCAGACAGCTTTTGTGTACTCTAATGGTTTGCTTTATTTTTGTTTTGGAAATCAGTTTTCTTTGAGAACTGAACTATGCCAATGAACAAAGCACGTTACATAAAGACCATTCTCTTTCTGGCTAGCCCAGGAGTGCTCTCCCGAGGGCCACCAGATTCTTCAGAGTCCTTACAGAAGTATCCACTTTGACTCCATGCACCTTCAGCAGGCAGCTGGTCAAGACCTCATCTGTGACCATTCCCTCTCCCCGGGATGGTATCAATTCCTCATCTTTGACAGACCTGCTGAGATGCCAACCAAATGTGTTGAGGTACTTCAGCTCACTAAAACCTACATGTGGCTTTCCATAGGTGCTTTTTAATGTAAAGACTGAATCATACAGGCAATTTATTTCTACATAGGCCTAATTATGTATTGGGTTGAGTTAACTCAAAGGAGTATTCCTACATTACCTAGTCTAATAATAATACCAATAGGAATAGTTAATGTTATGCTCCATGCAGTCCACACCCCCCATAGCTTATATAATTTTGACAGCTCTAGGATACAGTCTATTAGTAATCATTATCTCCATCAAACAATGCAGGGCATGCAGGTTTTTAGGACTAATCCTCTTAGAGCCACCCAGCTAGCAAGTAAGAGAGCCAAATATTAAATATAAACAATCATTCTCCAGGGCTTAAGCGCAAATAACCTGCAAACAGTAAATGCTACGTATTTTTGTGCTTCAATTCTTGGCAGTTACTGCTGACTGCTACTGTAGGCTTTAGTGGCATGAAGCCTACATGTAGAGCACTTGCTAATGAAAGACTGAGGAGAACCTAGCTTGGCTGGGAAATCAAGTATTTCCTGGCCCTAGTTTGCAAGCACTGACTGCACTGGCAGCAAATTCACTTCTCTGACCTCACCCCACCGGGGCTCCTTCTCTAACCCCACAGTTTGGGGAGCCAGCATACCTTGGTTTTTATTGTTTGTGAACAGACAAGCACTGCATTTTTTAGCACACTAGGCTTAATTTTGTCTATTTTTAAACTTTCATATGTGGAATCACATCAAATGTATTTTTCTTTTTTTTCTTTCTTTTTTTTTTGGTACCCGGGATCAAACTCGGGACCAAACTCGGGACCTTGCGCTTGCAAGGCAGGCCCCGGAACCACTGAGCTAAATCCCTGGCCCTCAAATGTAGTTTTCTACAACTTAAATTTTTTTTCACAAAGTTCACTCTCTGGAGCACACTATACGATGACTCTTATAGGGCAGGTCTTGCTCAGTGAACTAGCCTGAGTGATTTCTTTCATGCTGAAAGCTTTGATACACACATTTTCTTCTAAAATGCTTCTAAGAATAAGAACAAGAAGAACAAATGCAAAACATGATTTCTTGGGTATTATTCAGCTAGCTTGCTTCCTTATCAAGATCCTCCTTGAATTTCTGTTGAGATTTCTAGTTATCTGAATGATGATTTTTTCAAATTCAAATTTCCCCTAATTCATTGATGGTCCCCATTCAGCTAGTAATACATTCAGGGAATGACCGTCATCTCTATTTATGACACTTTTGACCACTTGGCCTTTCAATTCAACTCTTGTTATTGGGACCATATTTCCACCCACATAATGTAAAGAATGAGACTAAGACTAAATCTCATAAAAGACTAAATCCTTTACCTCATCATCCTCAGTTACAGGATCAAAATGGTAAAGAAAGGCTTCAACCTGACATATATTTTGCAACTCAGAACTTCACTTGATTTCTCTGAGGCTTTGAAGTAGCTTACTTCTAAAGATGAAAACAGAGTCCAAGAGTTTGAGCCACGTGAACAGTCATTACCTGGAAGCAAGCAGCACAATATGCAGTGTTTCCCACAGCATGAGGCCTTTTTCTTGATCACAAGCCGCCATCTCTCTCAGCTGTCTGGTTTCCCAAGAAAGTCCAGACAGAAGTGAGTGTTCAGTTGTGATACATGGCTAATATAGGCACTGTGACATTCCAGAAATATGTCCAGTGTCACACTTGCCAACTATTGAAGATACTTATCATCACTTATGAGTTTATTCTCTATAATCATACACTATATTAGGTATTATTTCATTTTTTAAGGTAAATTTTTTTTTTTTTGCCCTGGAGGATATGCAGTTACTATTTATCATTCGGAGTGAGACTATGTCATGTGGGATTATTTCTCAGCACAAGATTTCTTTTCCTTACCATCACCCACATTTTGTGAATTATGCAGAAACAGGAATGATTTTCCTTTTTAAGCATTAATTTAAGAATTCAGAGAAAAATTCACATTTTAATAATTAATTTTAACTTATGACAATATGGCTGTCTTCTTTTTTAATTTGTCACTTTTGTCAAGATTTGCTTGCAAAAAACTAAAAAAAAATCAGGATTTAAAATTAAAATTCAAGAAAATTGCAGGAAATTCACTATATTCTTTAACATTTGTGCTCTTTTCCTTTGATTGAATGAGCAACAATTGATCTAGAACCTCAACAAATGAAAATAGAGGTGTCTCTTTTTGTAGATATCAACTAAGACTTGTCATACTGTGCCCATGGAGAAGTGTTTCCTGGGCATCCCCATCCCTTCTTGAACCAAGAATTTAGAGCGTTCAGTGAAGAATTAATATAATTTTTTTTTTTTTTACTGCGGGATAATACAATTCTTTTTAAATAAATTTTGACTTGGCGATGTTTAAAGTAATGCATAGAAAATAGAAAACTTAAAAAATAAAGGACAGAAATGGAACATTTATTCATCATTTATTCACATAGTCATAACTATCATTAACATTTTGCTATTATTTCTCCTTTCTTATATTATTTTGTTGACTTTTTCTAATTATAGTTATAACATTAGCATGTTCCTGCTTTATAAAGTCTTTCTCATCAGTTTTGAAAATAGTATTTTGTAATAAATATATACTATATTTAAGCCATTGCCGTATGTATGCACATTCAGAATTTTTCTATAAGTAATTATGAATTAACAAGTGTGTATACTTATACATCATTATTAGAATTTTAGTGTGTTTAGTAAGATTGATTTTTATAAATCTTTTTATAAAATTAATGAAAATTAATCTTTTGGGAGCTTTTATGAAAATTATATTAAACATAATATAAAATTGTAATTCCTATATTAGTAGAAAATGCCTTTTTCAATACTGAATACTCATACCTGAATTTCTTTTATAAATGATAAGTTTTTAGTCTGAGAGTTTTTGAATGGGTAATATACATGATTAAAATAAAATTGATAAATATAATGATATAACAATAAATAATATACCATACTAAATTTAACATTATTTACAAAAATTTACTCCTTATCTAACTTATACTTTAAAAACTATTATTTAGTCATATCTATCAATCTTCCCTGTGTGATACTTTTCTTTGTTTTAAAATATGGAAATAGCAAGACTAAGAATTGTCATCTGGTTTAATAATATTGAGCCATTGCCAGGTAGACATTGCATTGCATACATTATTGCATTTACATATTTCCATAGCACTTTGAGGTGAATACTATTAACCACCTAATATGAAACAGAAGCCTGTTCAGTGCCTTATCCAAGGGCATACATTTAATCAATTCTCCCAAAATATGTACTTTTTTCTTATTTTTCTGTTTAATTAACATTTCCTACCTGTAAATGACTATCATAATAGGCTTCAAATGTGCTTTTAACTTCATTGTTTCCCAAATTATTAAATAATTGTTTCATCACTTGATTTTGAATGATCGTTACATTTGCTTGGTTTTGGTTGCATGTTGAATTATACATTAATTTCTTACATATACTATTTCTAGAAATTTTGTAATGAATCTCCAAGATCAGTTTGTCTTTGCTATATGTTAGATAAGTTTAGCTTATCTCGTTTTAGAATAAATCATCTAGTTTAGTAATTTACCAGACATCATATTTCTCTAGTTTACAATGAAGATACAGCAAATAGAATAAAGGTACTTACACTGAATAACATTGTATTAATTACGAGGTATCTACCTTTAAATTTAGTATTATTTAAAATTGCTATTCTTTATGCTACAAGTACAAGCTAATAGATCTTTAAAATGATTAGTAATTTTGTATTTTAAAGATTGTTTGGAAGAAAATGCAAAGTCGATTTATCTGTATGAAAATAAATTACATTTCCAATTTTTGTTTTTTCTGATGCAAAAGATGAACCACTGTGGAACTCAGGCCCCCATCTGGCTGTCTCTGAGAAATTCAGAAACACTGCCCCCTCCTGGGGAGACCAAGCATCTGACAGCTTGTGCGACATGGCAGTTTTTGTTTAGTCCTAGGAAAGACTGCTGTCTCTTTCAAATTCCAGTGTCTGTAAGAAACTGTGGGAATTTTTTCGTGTACTTTCTGCAACCCACTCAGGGATGTATGGGCTACTGTGCAGACGGTAAGAAAATATTGGTAATATGCATGAACTACTATTTATGAGACTCTAGTTGTATTTGTGCTATTCTCCGGACAGGTTGTATTGAGCTAATGCAAATTTCAGTAAGAGACTGATCTACCACTATTGGTAAATAGAAGCTAAATTTCCAATTTAAATTGGTCATGTTTGTTTGGGATTCTTTTAGGGGGGCACAGTCTAGCTATGTAGTTCACACTGGCCCTGAACTCACTATGTAGCCCAGGCTGGCCTCAAACTTGCAGCAATTCTCCTGCCTCAGCCTCCAGAGTGCTAGGATTATAGGCATGCACTACTATGCCTGGACTGCAAATTCTTAAAGTGCTCAAAAATGTATGCTAACGTGGAAAAGATTTCTCACCATTTTCCCACTGCATACTATGATTGCATTAAAAATTCTTTAGTTTCCTCACACCCTTTCTCTAGATGGTAAGTAAAAATTACAAAAATTTAGATTTTATATTATTTCATATTTCACTCATTGATATTTAATGAATATATATCTTGTGCCATGAATTATTTTAGGCTTTGGGCTCACTGTTATGACCAAGACAAATGAGATCTCTGTCCTTGTGGAACTTACTTTCTAGTGGAGTATCTCAGAAAAATATAAAAATAAACTGGATATGTCTCAATGAAATAAACAAATGTACATAAATCCCTACTATCAAAGAATAAAATAAATATCCATGAGTCCTTACTATATAAATACATGATTAGATAAATAGAGGAAAAGAGCCAGCCTGTACTCAACTATGACTAGGAACTCTCAAATTAGACAATGTGCCCTTTACGTTAGAGTGCTGTGATCTGTTGTCCTGAACAAAATAGGGACTCAAAAACACTGTACTCAATTGCAATGTTTAGTAGAATTACTGGTCCAACTTCTCAGATGCAAGAGACTCAAAACAGAAACTATGTAATGACATCATTTGTTTGCTTCTTTTTATTTTTTTGGCCTGGACTATTTAGACAATAATGAAACTTAAAATCTATGTAGGAGACTCAAGTCCTGGAACATGCTAGAATAGATCATTGTTATTAAATGAGGCAAACATTTAATTCAGCAAACAGTAATTATTGTATCAGTAACACTTAAAACATTTTCATGGTGAAGCCATTAGATTCTCCAAACTAACAAACCAGAAAGCACAGATACAGCAAAACAAATACAATAGTTATTTAGGCCTTAGAGTAGTTAAATAAAAACTACATAGAGTAGTTAAAACTGGGTCAGTGACTCAGTGGCTGCTTGCCTAGCATGTGTGAGGCTCTAGGTTTAATCCCTAGCACCACACACACACACACACACGCACACGCACACACACAAATCTGTTGTTTTGAATTTTAATAACCTAATTGGATATAATAAATATCAAATATTTTTTTAATTTCAAATCTTAAAAATAATTTTGCTTTTCATAGCTATGAAATTTGAACCAGCATTGTTAGAAAAAGGAATTTAATGTTTCTAACACCTTTACCTCCTAAAAATCTATCTCTTAATGTCAGCATAAAGAACGTAAGTTTTCTCCATAGTTAAGTATTTCTACCAATAGTCAATGGAAAATAACAATTTGAATACTTAATGGCAGTTTATAACTAATTCTTTTTTCTTAAAAGTAATGCCAAATACTCCAACTCCACTTTCTATTTTTATTACTATATATTTTTTCAAATGGCTTCTAAATTTGATGTAAACATATCATTACTGGTCAAAAAAATCTGTAAGCAAATAAGGCATTATTGTCTACTTTATTACTCTATTTATTACTTATATTATCTGATAATAGAGACTAGTTAAGAAAGATAATATTCTCAGTCTGACCTGTTGAGATGGCTTATCATGTATATAAAGTATTTTTATCAGGATAAGCAGATAGATCAATGGAAAAACGGTGCCCATATATAGACTAACATGCATATGGTTAACTGATTTTCAACACAGTAATATAGAAATAATATTGTCTACACATACATGAAATATAATCCATATGCAAAAAAGCCAACTTTAGTCCATACCTTTCACCAAAATACAAAAAAGAAAGAGCCCCAAGTCCTTGCAATAATTATATACCCAAATATAAAAGCTAAAATATAAAACTTCAATAAAGCTAAAATATGAATATCATAAGTTAAGGAAATATTTCTAAAATGTAAAACCAAAATTGTTACCCATAAAAATATTAATTATACAATTATCTAATGGTGAAATAAGGTAGGTGCTATAAATATTCAGAGTCAAGTTTTGGTGTGAAGTTGTCATCTCTTTTGAGTAAATACCAAAAAGTATGATTTTCTGTATTATGATAAGTACATTTAATTTTCTATGAAATTTCCAAGTTGTCATTCAAAGTGACCATACCATATTACATTTCTACTCTCCACAAGAATCCCTACTGCTTTGATTGTCAGTGTGTTTCATTATTTAATAATGCAGATTCAGATTTAGAATGTGGGATATAAAAGCTATGACTATTTTGAAATATAGGCCCTGTCCTTACCAGTTCATCCTTAAAAAGAAAACATCTATTATGAAAAAAACAACAGAGTGTACAACTAAGAAAGTCTTGGTCCAATATTAAAACATACTTTTCAGAGGAATTTTACTTTGAATCTACGTATGTTTATATCTTTATGCCCAGTTGAATAAATGTAAAACTAACCTTTTGCAGCTATTTCTGATACAAAATTACACACTTGTGGCCCTGAAGAAATAGAAATCAGAGGTGACTGTATTGGTATGTATAACATTTTCTTTTTAAATGACATATTTATTAATTAGTGGTTTTCTTTTTAAACATTGTGCATATATATATAAATTAGTAATTTCAAGTAGTTACTTATATTCTGTGACTTTAAATGTTGAATTATATTAATAATAGACAATGCTACCACCTGACAGATATAAAAAAATAATGTTATCATGGCTTAAGAAATATTCCTGCAGTTAGCCAAAGTACAGAGAAAAGAAAGTGTGAATATTGGTAGGATTTTTCATGAGAAAATTTGGTAATTTATCTCAACATTCTTAAAAATCTACATGTATTTGTACCTACATTTATACTTCCACAAATCTATTTTAGAGAACTATTCAAGGAAATATGCAAGCACAGTTATTTATAAAAACATTTTTCAATAATGTGAAAAGAAAACTTCAAATATATAGTAACTGCTGATTGATTTAATATTTCTGAGGTAAATAATGACTAAGTACTCAGCAAAAAAGCATTAAAATGTAGGAGCACCTTCTGTAACATTAGTAGATATTGGTTCATTATTGTACTTTTTTTTTTTTTTCTTTTTTGGTACTGGGGGTCGAACTTGGGACCTTGCGCTTGCTTGCAAGGCAGGCACTGGAACCACTGACCTAAATGCCTGGCCCTTGGTCATTATTGTAACCTAAGAAATCAGATTATGCAGTACAATTCCATTTTGTTTTCTGGGAAGATGGCTTTTTTTTTTGGTACCGGGGATTGAACTCCGGACCTTGCGTTTGTGTCGCAGGCGGCGGCACCACTGAGCTAAATCCCGGCCCCAAAGATGGCTTTTATACCAAACAAAAACACCGAAGACGTTAGTTGTATTTAAAGTTTTTCTCTTTTCAATCTGCACTTTTCAAAAAAATAGGCAGAAATTGAAATTAACCTCTTTTAGGTTAGAGATTAAGTTAGCTTTTAGAAACTTAACAATGTATTTTCATTTTTTTGACTCTGAGCATTTGCAAAATGAAATCTGAGGCTCTGAAAGGTCTCTAAATATTTTTATTTTGTTTTAGCCTCAGAAAATTGAACAGAATAAGGTTATTGTTTAAAACTTGACAGTTTATTTCACTGTCAGTATGGTCATCCCCAGGATGAATATCTCTTCATGGCTGAAGTTGAGTTCTAAGAGTAAATTATAAAAATAAAAGAAAGTCATGTGCTTTTATATTACAGTGACTTTTTTCTTTATAACAAGAAATAATAATGTAAAGAACTTGAATTTTGTTTCTTCAATCTTTTAGAAAAGATAATTGCCTTAAAAAGTAAATTACTCTTATTTTCAAGAAACAGATTTTTTCATAGACAGACAACTGGCATCAATATAAGCTTGATGAGCTAAATTGCTGTGCTATCAAACAATACATATATAGAGATCAAACCATGTATGTATTTTGTTGACTGCTAGAAAATAATCATCTTTTCTGCATTTAATTTCATTTTTACTTAAGAGAAATACCAGAGTTATAATCTTTCTATGCTTTTTCCATAAGCCAGTCTTCATTCTTCAAAATCTTTAATTTACAAATTATGCATTTTCTTCCACTAGGTCAGTCTTTGGCCTCATCGCCACCTTCACCTCCCGGAAGGCCAGAGGTTGTGGTGGAAGTGATTGAGTCCAGGCTTTTCTGTAGGTGTGCATTTGATGTTTCCCCAACCAACAACTCAGTGGGATTTCTTGTAGTGTGGTCTAGGCTTTCTTCTCAAGAGATCAAAGAAGAGCTGAAACAAGAGACCACAGTTCAGGCATTCTCTCTTTTAGAGCTTGATGGCATAAATCTCAGACTTGGAGATAAGGTATGTTAAAAAATTGGATTATCATTTATTTTCATGAATGTCATTTTTATCAAATATGGATATATATATATATATATATATATATGTCCCCAGAATATTTGTCCCCACAATTGCTGCAAAGCAATTGTGCTAATTCTAGTGATAATTGCATGAGTCAGTAATATAGTCTGACTGAATATGAACATCTCCTTTTAGAAATTTGCTGATTATTATTGATGAATCTTTAGAATTATATGTCTTTTTCAGGTTTTAAAATGAAATCCTTATACTTTGGAAAACAATGTTTTACTTTTTTCAGTAATGATACAGTTTTTATCTACTTTCAAATACATATTAAATAAAAATCTATTTCCCCTTTATATTAAGGTTCAAATAAGTGATGTTTTATAATGATGGAATGTTTGTAAAATTTCAGCCAAATATTTAAATTATTTAGTTCTTTTATCTCTTGGCAGTATCTTCTAATTAAATTAAGAATTTAAAGATAACAATTTATACATAATTTTATAGCTAAATGTTTGTTAACTGTATTCATAGATATTCTGTAGTGCTTCTGTCTTTCTCTTGGAGAAACCACATGTACAGAGTTTGGCTAGTGAAAGCAGAGAATTTTTTGCAGGCATTAAGGTAAGTAGCAGTGGGGAGGGATCAGAAACATTATTCTCCTGAAACTGTGCTCTGTCCATGATGGGCCTGGATTTTTCACAAACTGAATCAGAAAGTTGAAACTCAGGAGTCTGTATTTTTGAAGAGCAATCCTAATAATTCTAATGCACAACAAAGTTTGAGAACCCCTGTTAATGAACTCAAGTTGGGGTATAGAGATCCTTCTTGTTTTACGATAAAGTTACTTCCCAGTAAACTCATCAAAAGTTGCAAATGGTGTAAGCCACAAATGCACTTAATACACTTAACTTACCTAGCACTATAATAGCTTAGCAATATAGGACACTATAGAATATGGCTCACTTACACTTGTTATCACATGACTCTCCGAGAGCTGTGGTTTCCTGCCCTGCCCAGCATCAGGGGAGAATATCGAATGGAATATAATATCTCTGGCCAAGGAAAAGATCAAAATTCAGAATTTGAAGTATAGTTTCTACTGAATACTGAGTATTGCTTTTGCATCATCAATAAAATAAAAAATTCAGAATTCAAGCCATCATTTTAAAAAATGTGTTTTGTTTTTTAAAAATAACAAAAAAAATCAAAAAAATACAAAGGCTTTATTCTCACAATTCATTCCACCATGTAAATAAAAATTAGCATATCACTATTAGTTATTGTGCATTTTTGGTGAGAGGTATCAAGCCAGGAAATAGAGATCTGACTGAAGTAAAGTTGCCTTGGAGACCTGGGCTGTGTGAATTGCATTGTAGCACCAGGATCCAAGAGTTAATGAGCTATTTTAACAGGTGAGCAGAGGTGACAGGGAATCAGAGTGATGGAAGGTGTGTGACAATGACAATATCAAGAGTAAAATCTGGCAAGCACCGTGCACCTGGGAGATCTTATTCACAGAACTGGAGTTCGACTTGGACTCATTCATGTTTAAAAGACAAGAAGGGGAAATTGATAGATTATGAGAATAAGACTTAGGACCAAGATAAAACCTATTTCTAGATAAAGTCCATGCATACACAGTGGGGATTGGGAAATGAAGAATGGACTAGACTGTTGGAATAGCATACCCACAGTTAAGGCAAAGCAGACCTTAGACCCTGGGAACATAGGAATCTTTTGATCTACATTGCTAAGCACTCAGCAGACAACATCAAGGCCCAGTGGGCAGCCCCCAGAAACTGTTTCTAATTAAGCTAACACAGAGAATAATCACTATTGAGAAACATCTGTTTCAAGAGCTAGCCAAAACTTGCTAGCATAGTGCATTAAAAAAAAAAAATCCCTGCTTCTGAAACAAATTGGCTGGTGAACTGGAAGAGGGACAGTCCTAAGCAATACTTTGTTGGTCCAACTGTGGAAAGCAGAGGCCCAGATATAAATTTTACAAGTGACAGCAATACTTGGATTTATGTACTAAAACAACCAAATTTCTTATTAAGATGGTGTGTATAAGTCCCTCAAAATAACCAGATTCTTTTATTGGTTTGTCAGCAAACATTAGCTAACATGTGGAATAATGCAGGAATCTGTATTTCCTCTATTTTCCAATAACTTGCACAGAACTAGAATCACTAAGGCAGGCTAGACCTTGCCCAAATGTTTGGGGAACCAATTTGTGTCTAAATCCAGAGCAGTGTAGTGGCTCCATGCACTCTACATGCTGCTTATATATTTATCTGGTTTAGTTTTCATTGGTTTTGTCTAGTTAAACATTTTGCTTAAGTTACTACCAGTTAATTTAGCAAAAGATGAGCTGCTGAGAAAATGTGCTTTCAAAATTATCCTTTAGAAATAAATTCTATTTTAACAAAACTGCTCTTCTTTATTTTCTTACATCAGTTACAACCTGAATTGAGCACTGTATCAGAAGATGGGAAAGAACATCAGCTGAGGATAGAGAGCACAGTTCCTATTGTTTGTTCTGAGTTTAGTAAATTTGATCAAGAATGCAAAATCTCATTAAAACTGAAAACTGTTGATGAAGGTAATAAACTAAATTCATTTAATTTTATTATTAGATTTTTGAATGGAAACATGCTTTTTTCCCCTAGAAAAATTTCCTCATATAATAAATTGTGGCGTGTACTCATATAGTAAATTATGTTGTGTGTTTACATCCGGTTATAGTATTTGATCATATTAGTACATCAAACTGATACCTATCAAAAAGCAATTTATATTTATGCTTCTTGAGCTCAAAGCATAATTTTTTTTTTTTTAAAAGTGAACAACTTCCTTTTCATGGTCTTATTTCTATTCTCCCTCCTTTTCTTCCTGTTCTACCTGTTTTTCATCTCCCTTTTCCTTACCTTCCTACTTATTCTTCTCTTTGCTTTGTTTTCAGACAGGAACACACTGTTCTTTAAGATTTTTCCAAATCATCCTCAAAGAAGGTGTGAGAAATTATGCTAAAAATTCAAGTTTATGAAACACGGATCTTATAACACTTTCTTCACACTTCTTTTTCTAATGTAAGCTCATGTTGGGGACCTTTTGTCTTATAATTTCTCTATTTAAATTATTACCTTCATAGAGTTATGATGCGTGGCCACATGTACATCACTGTTGCAGCCATATAGGAAGCATGAAAATCCTCTCATTGAACAAGATAGAATATAAGAGGACAAGTAAGGTAGAGCAGTAGTTGGGTTGCCTGAGTTCTTTACACCCTTAAGCCTATGTTCAAAGCAAGTGGCAGATAGATAGATTAAAATAGAACTTTTGAGTGATCAAAATTCTGTTCACGTATCACTGACATTTCATTATAGATCATAACATTTATTTAGGAAATACACCAAAAGCAAGTTAGGTCTTGATGTTCATGTTATACCTAATTAAATCTGAGAAGTAAAAGGCCACATACAGTTCATGGGAACTAAAAGATGGATAAGGAGCAAGAAAGGAGAATTTAGAGACATCACACTAAGGTAGTTTGCACTTAAACAGGCTTAGATGTAATCCAATTACCCACATTGCAGAAGCACCATGAGCAACACAGTTATTTTCAGTTGCACTTCAGAAATATGAAATTCTACGCTGATCTCAGATTCTGAAAAAAGTTATACTTCAAGATTTCTCTGAAAACAATATCATACAAATCTTAGCACAATTTATACGGATAATAGGAAGATAATATTATCGATATATTCCAAAATTGTATTAGATAATGATTTCCTTCAGTTACAAGTATACTTTAAAATATGTTTGCATCATTCCCTGAATTTGTTCAATAAGTCAATTATGTCCATATGGAGACCCTGAATATATTTCCTACATTTTAGGAGTTTGCCTGTTCTCTTTCTTTGTCTGCTAAAAAAGGCTTTCTTTTTATTTACAGAAAAAATTCTGGATTTCATTCTGGATATTCCTCATTGTATCTTCTTTAAATGTACTTCTATTAAATCTTTGCTTTTATAGAGAAAAAAATTGGTGTCTCAGTGTATTTCTTCAGAAAATACGCTGCTGCTTTTTTACAAGCTTAAAGAGAAGACACTTGTTCCTCATACCGGAAATTCAGGAAATGATATCATGGACTATTTCTAAACCAGAAATATTCTACATTCACCTTAGGGAGAAGGTTAAAACTTTGGATATTTCCATTAGTTTATATATGTATGAGAGAAGAGTATATTATATTTCTAGGGAAAGTGTGTAACCGGAAACAGTTTTTAAGGGATTTTGAATCTAGTTCAATGTGCCCACATCTGAGCATTATAATTTTGTACCTTAAAATCTGCATGCAAAAGAAGATAGAAAATTTTAAATTTCTTTCTCCCTGCCTGGTTCTCAGAAGGACTTTGTAGTCACCATTAATGTAGGAAAACATACATCCTTTATGTCCAGTTTTTTGGGGAATCTGTTCTTTTTGTTTAGTTACACAAATTTCAAAATTCTTTCATTTTGTATTAGCTTTACCTTTCCAAATTCATTTTATTAATCTTTGCTCCATAACTGAGGTAGCATCTCAGGATTTTGAATATGTTCAGAAACATTTGGAAAGTAAAAGGAGATAGTTTACTACTGGTTTGAGGGTCATTTTATTTCATATTTTCAATTTTCAAGATGATAAACTCTATATAAATAATTAAATGCATTGCTACCATTGAACAATGGATGGAACAGGAATACATGTCCTGAAAAATATTAAAGAAGTATTTGAGCCCTAAGCCCAATTGTTACCAGAAAAAAAATCAAACTATATTTCTCGGTATTTTGAATTATGATTTTTATAGAAACAAGGCTAACTTTTATTTACTGATTTTTTCTTGTTAAATTTTAAAAAATATTTTAACACATAATTCTTGCATGTTTATAGAGTACAGTGTGATGCTTCAATACATGTGTGCACTATGTATTGATCAAGTCAAGTATTTAACATTTTCTATCATTATTTTGTGTTATTTATTGCTTTTGAATTTTATCTAGCTGTATGTGAATTTTTAACTTTATTAAAAATAATATGTATGTATATGTATATGCAAATACATTTATGTTAAGATCAGGTAGATTCCATAGCTTTGTTTTAATTTGGACAAAAATCAAAACAATGTTTTTGAAGAGAGAATTTAAGACTAATCTTTTAGTTCAATGTTTGATGTTAGTAAAGCTATTACATGTTTTGCTTAGGATATATACCCATAGGAAAATTTTCAACATATTTTTTCATTCAAACAGGTAAAGAACACCTTGGCTTAAATTTGGCACTGTCTTCCTGTCATGTGGACCTTCACCAGACCTCACCCTGTGCCAATGGAATCTGTAGTTACACTTTTGTGAACTACACTGCTGTACCAGACTTTTTCCCAGATGGAGACAGAGTCACAAACATCATAGTGCAACCGATAGTTAATGAGGATTTCCTGTGGAATGGCTACATTCCAGACAGCGTCCAGGTTGACAAATTAGAAAATGATCTTTATAATTTAAGCTTTAACAGATACTTATATTGTATCATTATATCATCAATTTTATCTAAGATTATTTGGTAAATTACTTTAGTGTTTAAAATGCTTGGTTTTCAAAACAATGATAAAACAAGAATTCATTGCAATTGCAAACTATTTAGTATCCCTAAATAACAACTGATGGTTGTATTTACCGAAGTATTTTTATTTTTAAGATCAGAGTCAAGGATATCCCAACTGCTTACTGTTACTCATTTACTGACCCACATATAATAACCTTCGATGGAAGGTAAGTTTTTCTTTTAGTACTTTTTGTTTGTTTCCAATATTGTTTTGTTTTAAACAGCATACTATTTTATCATTTCTTAGTTCTATTTACTGACAAATTAGAAAGAATAGCATGTATCTCTCTTACTGGCTAGTTTCAAGTTACTAGTCTACTTATGAATATATTTTTTGCCTTAGATCTAGTCCTTAGTAAAAGTATAAAATAATCGTGAGTCTGAATTTATAGAAGTAAAGATTATGAAAAATGCAGACAATTGTTTTTGCTTGGCCATTGTTTATTTTTCAAAATTGATTACATTATTTGTAGTAAAAATATTTACTATGTTGCATTTCTACATAATAATAAAATAATCTTTAAAGTTTAGGCAGAATGATTAAACTAACACATTAGATTATTTAAAAAACTAAACACTGCTAATTCATGATGAGTTCTCAGGGAGAAAACTATTATAACCATCATGAATGTCTAGCTATTTGCCTCTGGAATTAAAGAATAGTTGGTAAAAAGTATCAAAACTATCCTGCTATTAATAAGTGCATTGTAAGAGTTAAACTTAATGATGCCATTCTAGGGGAATTCATAATATTTAGTTGTCCTACGGGAAAACGATACCTCATTTTGAGTGAAAATTTAATTTATGATGTAAGATATAATTTATTATAATGTGATCATTGTCAGTAAAATTATTCAATATGGTGTATATATGTATAGAAACCCTCCAATAAAAATGACACTCTACAGATCTAAGCCAACTATTGAAAAGTTGTAATTGAAGGCTTAAAAGTTTTGGTGGAGGCTGGGCCTGCTGGTGCATGCTTGAAATCACAGCACTTGAGATGCAGAGGCAGGAGGATCACCAGGAATTCAAAGCCAACCTGAACTACACAATCAGACCTGTCTCAAACAAACAAACAAACAGAAAAACAAAACTAAAAACGTTTTTGTGGAAAAACTTCAGGAAAGCACAGTCATGATGCATTTCATTCAACTTAATTCAACACAATGTATTATGCCACCTTTTAAATGCTGGATATATGACAGTGAACAAAATAGATAAACTCTACCTGCTCCTGTGGAACTGACCTTTGAGTAAGTGAAGAGAGATATAAACACCATTAATAAATAAAATATATAGAATGTCTGAGATAGATGCATGCCATGAAGAAAAGTTAATCAGGAGTGGGGGAAGGCTGGAAGTAGAGTTTGTAATTTATATTAAAATAGAATGGGATCAACCTTTTTTAAAAATTTCTTTTAATCGGGCCAGGGATTTAGCTCAGTGGTTTCACCATTCAAAGACCCGAGTTCAATCCCCAGTACCAGAAAAAAGAAAGAAAAAGAAAAAAGGTTTTTATTTTTGGTACCAGGGGTCAAACTCAGGACTTTGCACTTGCAAGGCAGGTGCCAGAACCACTGAGCTAAATCCCTGCCCCCCCCCCTTTTGGCATTGGTATATTAAAATAGAATGGAACTGAGCATGGTGCCACACATCTGTAATCCTAGCACTTGGGAGGCTGACATGGGAGGATTGCCACGAGTTTGAGGCCAACCTTGGCTACATAGTGAGCTCAAGACCAGCCTGTACTGCAAAGCGAGACCCTGTCTCAACAAACAAACAAACAAACAAACATCAAAAAGAATGGACCCAGGCTTAGTGGCACACAACTATAATCCTACCACTCTGGTTGGCTGAAGCAGAAGTTCTAGCCCAATCTAGGTAAAGTAACAACTTGGCAAGACCATATCTCAAAAAATCCCCAAATAAATAAAAATAAGACTGAGGGACACAGCTCAGTGCAAAGGTCCCAGACTTACTCCCCAGTACCACCCCAAAAGTAAAATAATAGCAAATAAATAAAATGGATATAGAAAGTGACCAAGTGAGGGTAACATCTGGCCAAATACTTGAAGAAGGTGAAGGGAACAACCATGTGCATACACATTCAGCAGGCCCTCCCTCCCAGGGTGCATGGCCAAACTGGAGTGATGGAAGGGATAAGTAGTGAGAGAGACTGACAGATGTTTATAAATACTTTGTTTCATCCAGTGTCTACAAATAAATGCTCATGACTCCAACTGGTTGGTGATCTACATTTCTCTAACATCAAAATATATCGAATGCCTATAAATATATTTAATACAAATTTTTGGCTTTATCATATACTATTATGATATTTTGTACCAACTCTTAATGCAATTGACTTTTGTTAATGATAGGATATATGATAATTTCAAGACTGGAACATTTGTGCTTTATAAGAGTATATCACGTGATTTTGAAATCCATGTACGTCAGTGGGACTGTGGAAGCCTTTACTATCCTGTGTCCTGTAACTGTGGGTTTGTTGCCAAAGAAGAAGGTGTTGTAGTTACTTTTGATATGTGCAATGGTCAACTACATGCATCTCAACCATATTTATTTGTGAAGAGCCAAGATGTATCCAGCAATATCAAGATAAGTGAATCTTACTTAGGAAGAAAAGTCACAGTATGTATGATTCTTTAATTTAAAAATAGTTTTCCTTTTGGGGGAACTTTTTATCTCCATTAAATTAGGAGCTACCATTTTTCAATATTAGTCTTTTCAAGAAAATAGCATTTAGATGATCTATGATCTTAAAGTGTTTTTCACCTACCACACACAAGTAGACACAATATAGATAAAACTATCAAATATAAATTGCATTACTTAACATTTCAATATGACAATTTTGGATTATTCATATAAATATTTTTGCCAGTGTCTAATAAAAAGTACATTAGACAAGTATGACAGAAAATTAAAATTCAATATTCAGGAATACCTAACCAACTTTCTAAATGAATAGTGTGTTGTTACTTCAGAAATTGGTTGGGGATAAATAGATAAGTAGGAGGAGAATAGAAAGTCAAGAGAGCTACCCAAGATTATATATTGATTAATTTTTTTAAAATAACATTTCATATATGTGAGCTATTTGTACTTTAAGGTGATGTTCATCCTCCTCTCATCTTTCAAAAGGCTAAATTTCAAGTAAATATAATTTAATTTCAAAAGTATTAAAAAGCAAGTGTTATGTTTTTATAACATGTATTAAGGTGAACAATAATTTCTGAATGTAGCATTATGGAACTGAATTCCATCATCAAAAGCAAAATGCAAATCAAGAATTAGGAAAATATTTACTACATGTAAGTTATATAGTCAATATATAAAATTCTCATACTCATGTATAATCAGCACTCCATTTATAAAGAGCAAATAATATAAAACACAATTCACAAAGAATACTGATAAACATATACAAAGAGATAATCAACAAAAATATGAATACATTGACCTCATTAGTACTCAACTAAATAAATACAGATCAAACATCTTTCATATAATTTTAGCAAGAGGAGAGAGTAAGAAAGTCTTTCTGGAGACCATATAAATTATATATAATCTTAATCCACCTTTGTATGTAATTTTAACAAAAAAAGTTTAGTCCTGCAAATTTATTTTAATAAAGTAATTCAGGATGTACAAAACTCCAATAATAACTCATTATATCTCTACTTGTGAGAGGGGAAAGTTACAATTAATCTGTGATCAGTTAGATTTAACTAAAATTCTAAATACAATTGGTGTAGAACACATTGTAGTCATGAAAATGATGGAGTAGGAGTGTGCTTGTAGACAAGCAGAGATATTTGTGTAATATACAAGAGGGGTTTGAAGAATTTGCAACAAAATTAGCTATTTTAAGGAGGTTTGTAAGGTTTGTTTCCATTTTCTGTAATGCTTAATTTTCTGCAATGAACACAACCATTCTTGTATAAAGAAAAAAGTGCTACTGTTAAATTTTTAAAATATTAAAGAAGAATATGAATTAGAGAAGAAAACACAGGAGGTATAACCTCATTGGCTTTTAAAAGAGATAGTGCCTTCACATATACATCCAAGTAATTGGTCTGGGACAGATGACACTCACAGTATAGAGAAGTAGCTCGTGGTTGGATGCTACAAGCTATTAGAATCATTCGATAAACTCCTTTTGGTCCAATTCCCAGGCAACCTCTGGTTATAACTTGGCTTCTGATTTGATGTGCCCATGTGCAGTAAGAGGATACTTATATGTATGCCCCTGGAATTATATTTAATCTGTGTAAATAAATTACTTGGTAGTTAAGAGCCATATTAAGTGACTACCGTAAGAAATGTGACTTGGTAAGCTTTACTTTAAAATTTGTAACTTTCATTATATAAAATCACATTTTAGTTAAATTACTTAAAGAGTTGCAAATAATATATCTCAATAAAAAGATCAATGTGGAGCTCAAATTTCAAATCTGCAAACACAAAAATCTATTACTTTGAGTGTAGCATTAGCAAAAGTTGTCATCTAAAAGAAATCAGTATTTTAGTCACTGTATGGAAGGAATAACTCAGTGTAATTACTTATTTCTTAAATAAAATTTCTTTTCTTGACCCATATTGAATATTGATTCAACATCTTTTTTTCTCTCTTGATTACTTCTATGTTTCAGATTTGGTTTTCTTCTGGAGCATTTATTCGTGCCGACCTTAGTGAATGGGGCATGAGTTTAACAATCAGAGCCCCTAGTTTAGATTACCAAAACACTTTGGGCCTTTGTGGTACCTTTGATGAAAATCCAGAAAATGATTTCCATGACAGAAATGGGATCAAAATTGATAAAAATTTTAATAATTTTGTTGCATTTATTAATGAATGGAGGTAAGAAATAAACAATTTTATTTGTGATCGCATTAATAAAACTTAAATGGGTGGTAATTCTATGCTTTTTAAAAATATTTTACTGGGGAATAAATGTTCTTGTTCAAATAATTAGTCTTTTCTGTTTTCCATCGAGAAGAATTTTGCCAGGGAAAAGCATGTTTGACACAACACCAATTTCTCTGACATTGCCTGCAAAACCATCCTACTGTAGCTGCTCACTGGAGACCACCTCAGATTATCGATTTTCTAATCATCTGCACAGTGTTTCTCAATCAGAAACTGCTTCAGGTTGCAAAGACATCAAACATGTCAGATTCTCTTCTTTGATACCAGAACTAGATGTCACTTCAGAATATATTAATTCTAAAATTCTTATCAAAGGAATAAGAAAGAATACATCTGGAGAAGAAAATAATTTGAATTTCTTACTGCAAGAAAAGAAATATACAAACCTAACCAAACTGGACTTAAATTTACAGTATCCTGAGAATGAAAAGCAGGATGCATCAAAATATTTGGACAGTGAGAAGCAAACACGGGATGAGTCTGGCCACAGCCAAGAAACAAGGTGGAATCGACAGAAGAGCTGGCAACGGCAAAACGTTAATGCATTTCCTCCTTTGTCTGCTTTCCAAAGTCTCAGCCAAACCAACCTCGAAGAGTTTACTTACTTTTTCCCTGAAGACCATGCTGAAGATGTCTACCAAGAATTTGTCGCTTCATGGCCCACACCTTCTGGTCTTACCAAGCACAGCACCTTGGCTCTCTGTGAGCAGACTCTAGCCAACTCTAGCCTTGGAAAACTCTGTCTTGCCTTTCTTGGCAAGAGAATAAACAATGTCATCGATATGTGTGTTAAGGATGTTCTGTTGAAAGATGATGTTAGCTGGGCCAAAGCAAGTTTGGCCCTTTTAGAAAATGAATGTGAAAGGAAGGTTTTGGAAGAGGGGAAATATAACACAGAAAAATATGGCAAGTCAATTGAAGACATTCTCCTGGTATTAAAATGCCCCAATTTATGCAGTAGCCATGGAGAGTGTATGGAGTGGGGGTGTGCATGCTTCCCAGGCTTTAGCTCCTATGACTGCAGTGATTTGTATGGTAAGCAAAGCCTGTTTGGCTTTGATACTGTGTATGACATTTGATTATGTCATATAAGACAATTTGAAAATGTCTTAGCTTTGCACAGTGGCAGTATCATAGCCAATGAGGTTTATCTGAGATGTGATGATTGCTAATTGAAAATGTCTTTCCTTTTTGGCTTTAGAATCTTAGAATTTATTAGATTATCTAGGGAAACCCAAATTATATTGATTAATGCATTTATAATTTCCAAAATGTGTTCCATTGGCCAAAGCTGAAGTCTTAGTAATGGGCAATAAGGTACATCAGGATCTGTCATACAGAATCCTTCTGAGCTCATCCCCCGCTAAGGTCACCCTGACCTCCACCTCTACCACTTTGGTCTCTGTGCTGTTCCTTGAAAATGCCAAGTTCATTCAACCTCAGGGCCTTTCTTTTCCATGGGTCCTTCTATCTAGAAAATAATTTTTTCCCTAAAACTCAAACTTAGAATATTTTAAGCACTGTGTTCATATTATGTTGCTCTCTACACTAAATCATTTTCTCTAACCCATCTATGTAGTACAAACCATTTTATCTCAATAAGTTAGAGTGAGAAAATTTTTTAAAATGTTGATTTGGTTCTTTTATCCAGTAAGCAGATAACGCTTGATTTCCCTTCCACAACCACCATCCTATACTTTTCCATCTATGACCTCTTCTATCTTAGCAAAAACAAACTTCATTTCTCTAATTGTTCAAGTTGGAGACTTGAAGTCATTTTTGACTTTTTGTGATTTTTTGTTTGTGCCTCAATTTTAATTTGCTAGTGCCAAGTCCAGCTCTAGCTTCAAAGCATTTCATCTCTTCCTTTGCTCCAAGCCATTATCTCACATTTGGACCATCACAGATTTTCCCAAAGCTTATTTTCCATGCAGAAGCAGTCCAAATGAACTCTTTGAAATGTGAGTCAGATCATGTTGTTTGCTCCACTTCTTAAATCCTTTGGAATGGCTCTTTTCAAGTAAAATCCATAATCCCTACATGGCTTAGAAGATCCTAGCTAATCCGAATCCCCCCTCACTGTGAATCCATCTACCATTTTCCCCCTAGCTCGCTGCTTCCAGCTATGCTGGCTGCTTGCTGTCATTCTAGGCCTGTTCCTTCCTTAGGACTTTTGTTTTTACCATGGCCTCTCCCAGGAATGTTTTTCTACCACAGGTCTCCGTGACTGATGTTCTTCACCTCTCTGCTCAGGCATCATATTATAAGAATACCCTCCCATAGCCATCCAAAATAACAGTCCCATAGTTTTTACATCCCTTCCTATAGTTATTGTAATTTTTTCAATATTCCTGGAAACTCTTGCTGATACATTTCTTTTTTTTTCATTTGTTTACTTTTGTATGCTAGGTTGTAAGTTACATGAAGGCAGGGAGTGGTTTGTTTGCTGCTATATCCCCTATAATAACATTACATGCAAAGAAATTGCTAAATAAACGTTTGTTAAATATATGAAGGAATGTACTTCTACATGAGGATGTTCATAATTTTAGGGCTGTGAATGCACATGACTTATGATTTTGTTTGAACCCTGTTGCTAGTATAGTTATATTCAGTTAGATTTCACCAGAAGTCATTATTTTATGAACTGTGCATATTTATGTTAACAACCAGGACTCGCAGATAGAGACAATGTATGCTCTTACCAAGTCCAGGTACAGAATAAAAATCATATGAAGGTCAGTTAACTCTTACTGCTATAAGAATTTTTTCTCCTATAATTGAGGGGTACATATAAAAATATGGTAACTTGTAGGATAGTAATCAATAATACACAAAAATATCCATAACATTAGAACAGCAGCATATTTAAATTTTGAAAACTTTTCTAAAACTTAAATTAAGAATTTAAAAATATTAATATATTGGACTAATTAACTATTTCATTGTAAAAGTATGTTTATCATTACCCATCTATGTGCTACAAATAGAAATGGTAAAACCAAAACCTATTTCATTATAGTAGTTATTTCTTAATACTTGTCCTTAGTTGACATAAAATATTATTAAAACATTAATGAAATTTGTATATGTAAGCACGGGTAATACCTGTAATGATATGGCTATTGATATAATGTTAAGATCACACTTCTTTTATACCAGATTACTCTTAACATTTAACAGAATAATTCCTAGGATATACAGTACCTTGAAATATATTTCACATATACTTTTAATTTGGAACTTGAAAATACTTGTGCAGCTCTTTTCTGAAATTAAAAAATGTCCTCTTTGTCACAATTTTTCCCAAAGACAACCCTCCTGAAATCACAGAGCTTGAGAATGCTGGCTTCTGTGATGTGCAAAAATACAATTGTGTGATGGTGAAAGTTTTTGGTCAAGGCTTCAAAGAATCACCTTCCATTACATGTGAAGTTACTAAACAGAAGGTATGTTAATTACAGACTTCATGACAGATTGCTTAAAACAGTTGAATTAATGTGTTATTCAGATTAATTTTATCTTGGATTAATTTGTTCTATCAATTAGCAACATAATTCCAAAGGATGCTATATCCACAGAGAGTAAATGGAAAAAAGTGGTTCAGTTCCTTAAACTTAAAAGCTTCCCTGTTTATAAACTTTTTTATTTTACCTAATATTTATTGAAGTATTAGCTCACTATTTTCAGTCAAAAAAGACTAAAAAATATTGAGCTTGATATAAGGAGACATCTATATTTTTTGAAATGAAAAAACAAAGAATGAAGATTGTTTTTAGCTAAGACATACTGCGTGAACTATAGAATACAGGAATATAAATATTTCCCTCTACAAAACAAAAAATGAAGAAAAATGCTCATCCTTTGTATTTCCTTTACTATGGACTTCAGAGGGAAAATACCCCTCCCCCATTTGTCTTTTACTTTCTTGAGGTTGTAAAAGCAGAAATGATCGTTTAGTTTAAACATCAGTATATCAAATTATATCTTTTTTGCTTATTATATGTATAATCATCTTTATTTCCTTTATTCAACTGGAATTTTTATTTCCAGGGAATCCCTTTGAATATAAAAAGAATTTATGTGGGTAAGCTTAAACTTAAAATATAAAATCATAGGGCCAGGGATTTAGCTCAGTGGTTCTGCCACCTGCCTCGCAAGTGCAGGGTCCCAAATTCAATCCCTGGTACCAAACCCTCCCCCCAGAAAAAAAATTATATATATATAAAATCATATTTTAGCATTCTTCTTACTGCTTAAGTTGATGAAATTAAATGTAATTCTGAGATTGAGTATTTACAGTAGGAAATACTTTTTGTATGTTTTTAATCATATATTTATGTGCAGTGAGTATAGTATTTTATATATATATATATATTATGGATAGAGCCTTTCTAAATAATCCATAGAATAACTTAATCACAATGAAATAATGTGACACAATAAAAAGATGGATGTATAATTTCAAGATAACTCAGGAGAGTAAGTATTCTTTTAGTCTTGGCAGAATAAATCATATGATATCACACTACAATTAAATGATTTACCAGGAGCAAATTTTATAGGTTTATATTTTCTAAGAAAATACATTTTGTTCTAACATTTTATTTACTCTACTTCTCTCTTCAAACATCTGATAAAGAGTAAAATCTGGAATTCTTTAACACACTATACACAACTATGGGAAGACATAAACTAAGCCTAGAATGCATATTGAGGAGAATGTTACCTTGGTTTATGAACTTAATGTGTTTTACGATTTGGGGGAACATGGCTGCATTTGTGTTTGTGTAGGGAAGATGGCATGGTCCTGTGTGTCACCCGATATGAAGTTTGTGAACAACAGCAAAACTTTGCCATATGCTTTTGTTTTCTATTGTTTGCAAAAAACATTCATGAACTGACATATTACTATATTTATTTTATATTGTGCTTAAGTTAAGACAGTCTCTCCTATCCCCAGTCTTCTCCAGAGCTTGGTTTTGGCTTTTTCACCCTTTAGTTCACTTTGACTCAAGCCTCTATAATTTGGCACTATTTTAAGATCCCTTCTGCTCTAGCTTTGGACCTGAAGAAAGCCTTGCACTTTGTTTGTGGTATGGAATGTACTTTCTTTTCTCCTAACCTAATGTTTTCTTCTGTCTTCCTTGTTATGTGTTCAGTTAACATGAATTGACTTCTGTTCACTTTTTCTTGGAATGTCAATTTCCTTTGAATATTAGGTTTCTCTTTAAAATCTAGCTTCTAAAAAACTAGACTGTGCAAAGCCCTTTACAACTTTCCATTTTATGAAGTAATTCTGTAAAACATTTATTTTGAGGAAATTTGAGACTTGCAGAAAAAACAATTATTTAGGCCACACAATGTTCACATTAATGCAATGCTATGAAATAATACAGAGACCTAGTTCAAAGTCTGCTAGTCATTCAAAAAATGGTCCTTTTTCTGATTCTGGAACCAATCTAAGATTTTCTATTGCATTTTATTGTGTCATGTCTTTTTTTCCCCAATCTTCTTCAAATTGTGACAGTTCTCAGTCTTTCTTTGTCTTTCATGAATTTACCACTTTCAAAGAGTGCCAGTCAGATATTTTGTGGAATGTTCCTTTCTTCTGATTAGATTGAGGTTATGCCATTCTCAGGTGATACAATATAACTCCTTGCTGTTGACATGAGTTTTGGTCACTTAAAATTTTCCACGTATCTCCATGTGAAAGATTTTCCTATTTTTTTTTGGAGTTAATACATATGTTGCGACAAGAAACTTTTAGATAACACAAATGTATGACTTCTACTTCCTTTATTTTCTAATTTTAGCAACAAACTAAAATTATAGTTCCTTGTAATAATTATTGTGAAATTTACCAATATGATTTTCTATCTCCATCATTCTACATATATTACTTTTTTGTTTTGTTTTTGTGAGACAGGGTCTATATTACTACATATGACATATGTCATTTGGAATTCTACTGCAAGAAATAAATGTTTCTTGTTCCCTTCTTATGCATTCATTTATCCATTTGTGTCAGTATGGACTAATAGATACTTACTTTATGAAATATAATTGAATTTCATTATTATTTATTTTGCTCAAATTATCCCCACTTTGAACAGTGGGAGCATCTTCAAGTTGGTTCTCCTGTCTTTTTAATAGGCCTTCATAATTTCTTGTACAATTTAATTTTCTGCCATCCCATAGTATTCCAGACTTTTCTATAGCCCAACCCTAGAGTCCATTCAGTGTGTGTTTATTACATAGTCAAGTGTTTCTTCTTGCTCCAAAAGTCCTTGCACAGTGATCCATTATATATGGCCAATATAGGTTACTTCTTTGATTTGAATACGTAGAAAATGTATGGTTTGTTAGAAGTGATTTATGTCAAATTAAGATATATACTCTTTTGATTATTGTGAATAAAATTCACTCTCAGTATGACTTTTATTTTCTTATTCCATTATATTAAGTATGTGTATTAACATTTATATTTATATATTTATGTAACTGATTAGCAAAATATTTCGATAATTTACAGAAGGTAATTGCTTTCTCATTATTCTTACAGTATAATGGCAGTAAATGGGTGCTTGGAGAACCTGTCTATGCACAGGCAGTTTTTCAAAATAACGGAACTGTTGATTGTCAGCTGCCCACTAGTTTCCAGCAGTCTGATAGCCTTGATCCAATAGGTGTGAAGCCAATTGCAAAGTGGCAACTAAAGGTAAAATAATAAAAGGTATATTTATAAACAAAGTAAATATCTGTATATAAAATTTCATAATAAATTTATGAGGCTATATTTAGAACAGACTATCTTACTGTAGAAGTACATCTTTTTTTCTAGCTTTATTTTTCATCTTTTATATTAGTGTATATTTGCAATACAGAATAATCATGGTCTTTCTGGAGAATTGGTACATGTGTAATACATATCTTCATCATTTTTAATCCTTTTACCCCCTGCCCATTAGAGAAACCATGTGATACTTAACTTTTTGTGTCTGACTTATTCTTACAGATATCTAATGATGGTTATAAATTCAGTAATCCCAAAACAATGATCATATATGATGGTGCTTGTCAAGATTGTGGTCTCTATGAAAATGATTCATGTACAGTAAAACTATGTATCTTTCCACTTCCTTTCACATTGGCATCATAGATATTTTCATTTCCTGTGCTGTTGAGCTGGCTCTGCTGACTTCCATCAGCTTTCCTCAGCAGACATTCCATGTTCCTAGCATCTCCAACTTCCTTGGTTTCCACTGTGCCTTTGGCCTCACTCTCACAGCTTTACACACTGCCCACTCATGGTTTCCTGGACAGGACTATGACCTTTTCACGCATTTTTGTCTGGTCTCCTAGGCCTTCTTATGAAATCTGACTGGAAGCTTCTATAAGCCCGTAACTCTTTCATTCTGCATGCCTAAATAAACAGCACCACATGAATGACTCCAAGGTCAGCTACGAGCTTAAGCAGTAGATGGGCCTTCTTGGACTATGGCTGCAGCAGTCTCTGAATGCCTAAATGACTGAACTCCGTAATGCACATCCCTGGGTGGATCTGAATGAGCAGGCAGCCCAGAGATTATCTTCTACTATGAAAGATTTATAGTTTTGCATTTTGAACCTGCAATGGGTGGGGATTTGGTGATTTCTGAGATGCTCTCAAGGAATCTTCCTTCTTATTCCTGTACAAAATACTTGACTTCTTTTTAATAATAATCTTTTGTAGTAACCATGTTCTGCTTTGTCACAAATTTTTAGGCCCTTCTTTATGGCTAAACTGCAGACTTTTCAAATCATTTGTCTCTGCTCCTTGCTTCTGATTTTTAGTGTAGATCTGGCTACTAGCAGCCAGCAGTACCCATGCAAGAGACTGAAAATTAGGCCACTTTGAAAGTTTCTCTGCCATATTAATTTGTTCACTTCCCTTAATAACTGTCTCGTAAAAAAGTCTCAGGACATGCGCAAAATATGGGCAAATTTTCTGCCAGATCCTGACACACCTGACTATTTGAAGCTTCCTAAGCTTGATCTTTACCATCCCCATTCCTGTCAGCATTCTGTTCTTCTCTAAGTTCTAACCAATATTTCACAACAAAGACTCCTCAAAACATTCTAGAACTTCTCTAACCTGTATCTCCAAACTTTTTTAAACTCTTTCTGCAAGCCAGTTCAAAAGGGTTTTGAACTACAAGGTCAGGTATAGTTACAGCAATGACCTCATTTCTGTCACCAATTTTTTGTATTAGTCACTTTTCTGTCACTGGGACAATGTCACTCAACACATGCAAGTTAAAGGAGAGGTTTATTTTGGCTCACAGTTTCAATGGATTCAGTCCATGTTCAGCTGGCTCTAAAGCAGAAATAATGTGACAAAATGATATCGAAGAGAATAGCTGTTTACCACCTGGTGGCCAGAAAGCTGAAAAAGAAGGGAGAATCCAGGACCAGAGATATACCCTTCCAGGTCATGTGCCCAGTAACCCACCTCTTCTGACCAGGCCTCACCTCCAAACTCCACAGTCAGCTATGAAATCAATAATGGATTAATCCATTGATGAATATAATGTCCCCATGATCTAATCACCTTTAAAATCCACACCACTGAATATGAGACTTTTGGAGGACATTTTTCATCTAAACCATAACACCTAGTCCTTTTCAAGGCAAATGGCATGCCCTTGAGTACAGTTTGTAAAATGTATAAAGCTAGCACTTTTACAGTTTTCTGAAAGTGAATTCTTTGGATCTTGCAAATGTCCACTATTGTCTATAGATCAATAACACATTTTAAGCATAATTCTTTTAAGATACACCTTCATTTCTATATCCAGTCTACGGGGCTTATTCACAGGGCTTCCTTAATGTGAATTACTGATTTAACAGATATTATGGATTTAATATAATGCTTAAAAAGTAAGAAGTCTACAAATAAAATATATATAAATGAGATTTAAAAGTATTGTATCTTTCTAAGTTTTAAATCTTGTTTTTCTTGAGATTAGTTGCTGTTTCTGTCAATAGGAAATTTTGGTTCTTGAAAAGTTATTTGATTTTTATTTTTCTACAAACATTTCATTTCCAGAAACATTTCCATTTCATTTCTACAAACATTTCAAGTCTGCATTTGTCAGTTACTTTTACATTTCTTAGAATGGAATCAAGTTTATTCAGAATGTTAAATAAAATGAAAGCAGCTAATAAAAACATTGCCAGGTTCAGCCTTTATCAAATTGCCTGTCTCTCTCTCTCTCTCTCTCTCTCTCTCTCTCTCTGTCTGTCTCTCTGTCTCTCTGGGAACTTTCAGAATCACACTTCTTTCCTTTTCTACACATATACAAGGGTATATGATTTCAACCCCCTGTGATATGAGACCAACCCCCTGTGATGCAAACATCCACATGCCCATAAGTATTTTAGAAATGTTTTATTCAAGGTTGTCTTATTCTCTTGGAACTCTTCTTTCCTATTTTTGTACAATATTATAAATGATATAAAAGGAGATTTTGTAAAGTGAGTAGAGATTATAGTTCTCAAATAATTTCTGATCTTCTTCCCAAGTTAGAACTATTGCTACATTTAATGTTCATCCCATATGTGTCAGCATCTTCTTCAACTACTTTTGTAATGATATTTATTGTCAAGTGTGGATAAATATGCAATGGATCTGGTCTACCTTGCTGCCGTCACAGAAAATAAATGCACAATTAGGGAAAAGGAAGTTAACTACAAACTAATATAAGTTTGAAGACATGCAGGAAGAAGTGTCAATTTTAATTTTTTTATCTTTTTCTTTATTTTTTAGTTTTAGTTTTTAGGGTTTTTTTAGTCAGGGTCTCACTATGTTGCCAAGGCAGGCATTGAACTCAAGATCCTCCTGCCTTTTCTCTTTCAGTAGCTGGGATTACAGGGATGTGCCACTACATCCAATCTTATTTATTTATTAATCAAGCATTCCTTGTATTAGTTTAGCAATAAAAAGGAAGTGAGAGCTTTTTCTCTTCTTATTTATAAGCCATGAGCTATGATTTTCTACAGAGATACAACTTACATGAATATTTTTATTCCTCTGAATTGATCAGTTCAATAGGTATTTACACATACAGAAAATAATTTCTTCTCTAACTTGCATTTATGATAAAATATTCCTTAAAACAGTTATATACATTCATTATAATCGTGAATATATATGCTGCATTTTATGTGCACTTTTTATATATACTAACTATAGCTTATCTTTATTAATGTTTTCCTTTTCAAACATTTTCTGTTAGGAAAATGGTTGCATTATCAATGGAGTCTGCTACCCTGAAGGGGATAAAAAACTTAACAGTCCTTGTTTGATTTGTAGACCCAAAATCTCAAAATTTACTTGGTCATATTTAGAAAGTAAGTTATTTTTATTTACTCAAATATTTCCTCTGTAATATAGTTTGAAAGTGATTGTTTTAACCAGGAGTTATATAAATGTGTTTAAAATGGACGAACACTATATTAATTTAGCATCTCTCCTAATATCATAATTTACTTTACTATAAGAAAATGTAAAATGAAAATATTCTTTTATAGATACTCATGCCTAGCATAATGATATATTGCTCAACAACAGGCTGCATATACAATGATGGGTTCATAAGACCATCACCTAGTAAAGTCATAGGTGTTTTAGTTTAAGTACATGCTATGATGACATAATTGCCTAACAACACGTTTCTCAAAACTTATCTTCATCATTAAGTGACCCATAACTGTATAGGATTTTATGATCATACTATACTAGGCTATGAAATATTCATTTTAATATTTGGTAAGGAAGGCAAATGTGAATTATTAATAGAAGAAGTAAGGATGCTTAATTCAGTTATACACAATTTCCTATTCTTAGCCTTACCTTTATTGAGTTTTATGACAGGGTATTTAATCATTTATGCTACAAAGAAAATGGATTCATCATTTGTTAAATAAAATGTCTGGAATCAATCTATAAATTGCCTTCCAACACTACTATTCTGTGATACTGTGAGTATAATATTGGGTACAGATAATTTTAAGATTCTTTGTTCCACACAAACAATATCCTAAAATGAGGTCACATACCATATAACTTTCCTGAATACAGCTGAATATGATTCCAACTGAATGTCCAAGGTTCTCTTTCCTCAGGATGTGAACAATTATTATTAGATACAACACAGGACATATTTATAGCCTCATGTAATTTTGTCTCAGAGAGTAATGAAACCTACATTTATACAGTGCTTTCTTATACTATTATACATGTCACTGTATGTGCATTTTTCATTATTGTGTTAGATTATTTGCCAGATGATTCACTACTTAGGTACAAGATGCATGGAATATTGTTGAAGGACAATGGGAATTTGAGGAAAAATATAGTGCAAGAGACAAGAAAAACAGGAGATGGCATTCAGTCTGGGCAGTGCAAATGTATTTCTATATTTCATGCTGTTGTCACACTTTCATAGCAAAGCTTGAAGTCTGCAATTGTCAGTTACTTTTAAATTTCTTAGAATGAAATCAAGTTTATTCAGAATGTTAAATAAAATGAAAGCAGCTAATAGAAACATTGCCAGAGTTCAGCCTTTATCAAATTGCCTCTCTCTCTGTCTCTCTCTTTCTTTCTCTCAACTTTCAGAATCACACTTCTTTCCTTTTCTACACATATACAAGGGTATATGATTTCTCTGCTACAGATAACCAACCCCCTTTGATGCAAACATC